CAGCACTGGCTTATAGCTTTGTTCGAAAACAAAAAGGAACAGCTAGGTGTCATTTTTAGGCTTTCTAGTTGAAAAACGTCAGTTTTAAGTGATTTTTGAAATGATTTTATAATTTGAAGACTATGGACATACTAGCCGCGGTATAACACCTGCATCAATGACATGTTGAGTTTGCTGATCGTTACCGGCAACAATGCGACCAACTGTAAACAGAGCGCTTGTGGACGCTACTGGATCGTCTAAGAGCTCCATTAAACGTGGCAGAATCCCTTCGACGCTTAGGAGAAGGTTGATCTAAAGAACTACTATTGATTATTTTTTTCACAAGAATTAATCTAGAGTTGGTTGGCTATCAGAGATAGTTGACTTAAACAGTTAAACAAAAGAAATGGTTTTAAATAAAGAAATACGAGCTTGTGCTTCATTGCCACGTCCGAAAGCGACTTGCGAAACACAGTCAGCGGCCAGTTTTCTGGTTGTGTTGGAAGGAGAGTAAAGCATCGGATACAAACTATGAACTGCTCTTGATGTTACCTGTAGTGTTAATAAATAATTCTAGATACTAGTAATCAATTAGATATTTGGCCTTTTTTACAATAGACAACTTTTACACTAACTTCAGAGTTAATTACTGTGGTACCGTCCTCGAAGACAACTGACAATGTTCTCAAAAGGTTCTGCACTGATTGCTGCTTCATTGATGGATTTTCACTCATGAGATTAACAAGTACGCTAACTGCAGGACTGCGACATACCTATAAGTATACCTATAAGTATAAACTGAAGGTCATTTAGAAAGTAAATTTTCTTTTACAAATATTGCGTAGAAAGCAGGTATAAGATATGTTGGAAAAAAATTCGAATTATCAAGTTTCTTATATCTTCAGATAAAGTGAAAAACTATTTTCAGCTCGAGATATACCTGCTTTCTGCATAAACTGCAGTCAGCAGCTATGTTTCCAATAGCTTGAATAGCAACATTTCGAGTCTTTCCGGAGCACTGTTTGACACATTCGGTCAATGCTTGAAGTCCTCCCTATGTATATCTTCATATCAGCATTTCGTCGATTAAACCCGTTTGACAAATCAGTTGAAAGGAACAGAAGAAATTGATGTGAACTGCACGGGAGATAGTTTACTGAATATAAACTTTAAAAAATTAAGTTTGTTTTTTGAATCCAATATGCAGTTAAACATCATTTGGTGGAGCATTTGCATTGAATATGTGTACAGTTTCATTCCACTACTGATACTTGGATGGCAGGTGAAAATGAAAGTAAGATTTTATTTACAACTAACAAGGCAAATAATTCTCCGGCATACGTAATGTGGATAGCAGGCAAACTTATTTATGGCTTGTACGGCTTCATGCTGAACACCATTTTCGCTGATTTTCATGCATCGTATGAGACCTTTGAACTGAAAAGTTATAGCTAGAATGTGTAAAATTTGCTTTTAGACTGATAAATAATAAATGTTATTGGAAAATAAAAAGAAGAAACAGTAAGAAGAACTAAAAGTTTCTGTAATTATTTAAACAACTTTAGAATTATCAGCATCTAAGCAATAATATTTAGGAAACACTATAACGGTATCGTTAAAAGATTGAGAAAAACTTAGTCTTTGATATGGTTCCTAACTAATCTTCAGCATTAATCGTTCTTTGTGATGAACGCTAAGCTCTAATCTGCTGTTAATCCTACAAAAAATTTGCTATACAATCTGTCTGCAAAACTGCTGCTCATAAGTCACCAACCAGTTTGTCAGTGTTAGCACCAGATGGATGGTAGTAGTTGTTGTTAATGTATCGTACTGCTCGAATCTGAAACTTTTTTCAATGGAGTAATATTTTTATAAAAAAGTAATTTGATAAGCTAAATGTAAATTAAAGTAAGTTGTAATACAAAAAACAAATGTTCTGATAACTTTTTGTTAACATTAAATTTGGTTATATGCAAGTAAAGACTTTGTTTTTGCAAAATTTTCACATTTCTAAAGCTGCACTCTTTTTGATCAGTATTGGCATCACTTCAACGTACTAATTATTTGGATAGGATAAACGATGTTCACTGTAATTTTTTTTTATTATAATAAAACCTTTGCATGTATTGGTGCTCGAGGGCTAAGCATGGAAATACAATTTCTCAAAATTTCTGATGCTGAATTACGATTTAATGTCATTGTTGACAACCGCCGCCCAGAAAACTGGCATGACAGAAAATGTTGAAAACAGATTAACATTAAAGAACGTTAAGGTTACTCCACTTAAATGTGTCATTTACTTCTATGTAATTATTTTGTATTCAATGATTTACCACAAAATATGCAGTTAGGGTGTTGCAAAAACGGCTTAAAAAGTTCCAGTGTATTTGTCGTTCCATACAGATCGTAACAATTCCCAACAAGCAAAGCAGAACAGTTCGAAGAATGTCTTGCAGCCGCATTTGATGTCTGCTACAAGTAGGAAATGCTCACTTGAAAACACTTTTACCGTTCTAGATGCCCAAAATTTGCATTCTAACTGCTCTGTGACATTCTTGTAGTTCCAGAGTTGTAGCAAAAGATTACTTTATTCTCTTCCACTTTACAAATGTTTAATCAAAATCAGGCGTATCTGTTCCTCTGTTTGTTAGAAGACTACAAAAGAGTCTTCCTGTTTGGATTCTTTCGTCTTATTTTCCTCTTCAAGCTTGCTTGCTTTTCCCCTTTCTTTCGCTTTACCTGAACCGTGTTGCCAATACTACAAACACCTCACACTAAAAACAACAGTAATCATAATAGTAACTCTTATATATTGTTCTGCTACTTATAGCTCATAACTGCGTTATCATATTTCCGATTAATTACACGTGTGTGCTTTTTCCTGTTCTTTTTTCCCTGCTCAAATTAAAAATTTAAAGCCTAACTTACAGATATATATTTTGCTTAACCAGAAACATTATCTACAGGAATTCAAACAGTAATAAAGCATTTAAAAACTTTTTCATATAATAATCTGTTCTAAAAAGATTTTTTTGAAGCACTTGAACAGGCATCTGATAAATCGCAAGTAATTTTAAAAAGCGTATCTTATGTTTGCATAAAAAAATTAACATATCAAATTGAATTCAATGTTAGTGTTGTTCATTGCAAAACAGGTAAAAAAAGAATTAGCTCTTTATTCGTCATGTAAATTTATATGTATAAAAGTTACATAAAATACAGTGTACTCCTTTCACAAATCAACCCAGTAATAGTAAGTATAACAGAGAAAAAATTTT